AATATATTTGTTACAAAGTAACATGTGAATTACTACGATGCGTTGTAAATTTTGAGAAGCACGTTTTATATATTTGTACCTCCTGGTACTTTTTACTATTACATACGAGGTTCGGATTAACGTTATATTCGAATACTTTATTTCAAATTGCAAATATTGTATATTTGCATAAATTTCTTTTGAAAGATGTAAATGGCATTCTCTTCACATACCATACAAGAGTATTCGCATACTCTTCACATAAGTACGGTGTGTTCAGCTAGAAGTGGCAAAGATCATTAAAGTATCGTCTATTATACAGTTCATTTGTTAATTGTTTCATTTTGTTACGCTATTGTTAATATGTGTTCGAAAACAAATTGAAATTTCTGTTGCAGAGTGATAAATAGACTGCGGAACTTTATACATTTATAGCGCGTAAAAATCTTCGAAAAATTAGAAAATACAATATTTAACAAAATTTGATACAGTTACGTTTTATTTTTAATTTACTGAAACAAGGAAAATATGTTTACTTTCAATTTTTTTTTCAATTTATTTCAACTCGTATAAAACTGTAACTTTGCATAAACTTCCGTAGTCTAACGATAATATATAATAATATTTACTGATACTTGAGAGCCTTAACGCGTGCCATCTTACAATTAGGTGCATATTTGTATTACATTTTGTTACATATGACTTAATTTCATTTTAATTCCGTTAAATTGATCAGCTTTGAAAATGTACAACTTTGTTGACGACTGTGTCTGTATCAGATGAATTTGTTACTTCGAAAAAGACGTCATTAGAATGCATTTATTCGCGCAGTGAAGTTTAAATAATTTCGCGCGCGAGAAGAAACTGTGAAGAGGAGCAGGAGAAATGGTTAAGGGGAACTGTGAGGTTTGAAAATCACTGACAGACCAATAATTTACAATATGATTTGTGTAGTCCGATAACACGGAACGCAAATAAATTTGTGAAAAATTAAAAGCTTGTTTATTACCATTTGTTTATTTGTATAATTATGTTATCCAATACACATGAAAGGAATCATACACTCATTTTCGGCACTAATTATAATACAATTATAAGGTAACCAATCAATATCGTAAACCACGCACATCGAAAGAGTCTTCTTCAAGGTGCTAATTTTACATCAACGTATGGCAAATATCTTATATTGCAATAACCAGTGAACACAAATATGTAAACCGTTTTTTATAGACGCCATTTGTTATAATTAATTTTGTCAGATATTTATGATGGAGGATAGATCGAGGCGAATCGAATTATTTTCTGTTTGATAGTAAAGAAATCAAACTACTTGAACATTAATAAGAATCAACGAAAAAGAATTTTTTAATCCTCCTTTTGTAAATAAGAAGAAGATAATATTCTCAAATATTTTCTAAAATGAGAATACTCCTTTACTGTTATTCGTTTAGTGCTTTAATTAAAATGATTATATTTTTAATAATTTATTGAAACTCGTTAAGTTGATACGAGTATTTTGTTCACATTCTAACTGCACCTTTTTATACCTTCTATGCTTTGATCTAACGATATCAATCGTGCGGATAACCGCAACATCCACTTTCCTACTACGACTTCACTAACGATAAGTTAATTAGTGATGCATACTAAACCGATAAGATAATTTTTCTTCTGTATTTCCTTCGCACTAAGCTAAGGAAATTAAAATAGACCCTTATTTCTAACGTTCTCGTTTATATTGTCTGAGAATCTAATGTATCTTACATATTCATATTTCAGTGAACAATACTTCGAAAGAGGAAATATTATTTAAATTCTGAAAAAATTTGATCAAACCAGTTTTTCAGTTCCTACCATTAGTATTCTACAAACTTAATTAGATATTGTGTTTATACAAATTATTCATATCATTCAGTACATGTTCTATATTCCAATGTTATGTAAATTTTCGTGCGCTCAACACAAATCTTACGATTAGAACCTTCTTCTCCATCACCATCAGTATTTCAGATATTTCATTTAGAAAATACAATCATCTTTTCGAATCTAAATATTATTTACATTAACTATAAATGCTACACATTTAACATTTTTAGAGCAAGCATGATACCCGAGGTGAACAAATTTTGGTAAATGTTCTGTAGTTACTTTTGAAAACTGAGGTTACGCGATAAAATCTATGCACACAAGGAAGGTTAAGATTTTATTTTTAAATGAGAAAATAAAATAACTTCGCTATACACGAGGTACTGATAACGAATTTCAATGCTAACGATCGCTTGAAATTTCCCCTGGTACAATGTAGAATATATTTGCAGTTCCTTACAGGTTACATTTGCTGTTCACAAATTATTTACAATAGAAAACAAATTTATTTCTTTAGAAATGTTTTTTGTCGACTGACGTTTCTAAAATGCATTTACATATAATGGCGGACATGTATGTACTTATGAATATGTGATTATTATGCTTTCATTGTCTCTAATATGATATTATCATTATTTACAACTTAGTTCATGATATTTCTTTTATGTTTCAGATGTTTTCCACTATTCCGTTTTGTATCACTCGAATAACTTTGATATTATAGATTGTAGATCTTTACTTTTAACTGTGACATTGCTGCGGATACACACTTATGAACACTAATAACATTCAATTGCTTCAAATATTAGACGGTTTCGACTTCATAATTAGTTCCCGTTGTTTCATCTGGATGTTTAGGCAGGTGCATACACCGGAACCAAACGTGTTGATCGTGAGTAAGAGGACAAATATAACGCCTGAGCAACAACGACAAATGCAGCTTCTTAAAAACCAAGACGTACTATGACGTATCGGAGTATTTCCCTACAATTGGGTATATCTATTGGAGACGATCATAACACCATACAACATATTAACCCTTTGCACTCGCCATTTGATTTAACCCAGCGAAATTATAAAATTTAAAATTCAATATTAAATTTTCTATAATCTACCAACACATGGAACATCGAAATAAAATAGTTTCGTCGCTTAATTTATGCAAGGTATTGTTTTATATTAATTGTAAAAAATACCACTGATATTTCATCAGAACATAAGAAATATTTGTTGAGAAAAATATTCTCGAGTGCAAAGGGTGAATACTCATCAAACGTTAGAAAATATTCCCCGTGAACTGAAACCTCTTAAAACTGACAGTCGAACAGATTGATTCATCGGTTCTCTGAAGACAGCTGTTTTAACTCCTTGGCGTATTATTTACTTTCGCTACTAAGCTCGTATAACACTTTACCATTGCCCTTTTTGTGGAAATGCAACAAAATTTTTCATTCTACTTCACGTGGGAATTTCATTTGAAGATAATAAATTGATAATAGCAAAATAATTTTTTCCTTTGATCCGTGGGTAATGAACAACATTGAGTTTCGTCAAATTAAGGTACTTTAAAAAAAGTTTTGTTCATCTTTATTTCTAAAAATAAGAGAAATATAAAAGACCATAAATACACACAAATAAAATCTCATTATTATAGTTTTTAAGTAAAAAAAAATATTCTGTAAATTAGATTGTCTACGATTTTGTTTCAAACCCTTAGTTTGAAAATATACTGAAAGATATTAGGAAAAATTGGTTCACTTCAATTCACATAAATATTTTTTTAAATTGATTTAAACTTACATCGACACAATTTTGTATTCGAGAATTCATCAAATAAGTCTATGCAAGAAAACAACTACATAACTGTCATTGTTAAAGCACAAAATATTTTTCAAGTTGAAGATTTACCTTTCTTTAAACCTGATTTCTGAAAAAATTGAGGTTCATAGAGAAAGACAATTTTCAGATTCACGTTCAGCTTACTGAGAATTTAACGTTAAGCTGCATAAAAGAATGAAAATTTGTTGAACGATGTCTGTAGTGGGATGGTCAGTTTGAAGGAAGCTGACGCCTATATAAAAAGCCGGAGAGGCACTGTGAATACCAGTATAGCGATGAAAGTGTAACTTGACAGTTAATCGGTGCTACTTTATTAGCCGTCGTTTCGTAAATCAAAATACTATCTCCAGTTTTCAGTGAACTCTTCAGTTTTGATAAATGTGATTTTTATTTATTCAATAATATGTGACGAGTGATTCAAATATTTCAGGATATTTACCAAAAATAACGACTATTCAGTTTCAAACCTTAATTCAAAATTTAATTAAAATCTTCAAATGATTTTTAGAAATTATTTATTTTTAAAAAGCGCAAATTACTATTAGTTTCTAAGATTTCTATTTATGTATTATTTATCAATTTTTTAGCACATAACTGTTTGACATTAGTTCGGTGATGGATAATACTTTGTTTTTCAATCACATATATTAAAGTTACCAATTATTTTGTGTGATTTCTTTAACCGAACTAGATTATCAATATTTTACTCTGTCAGTTAAAAGATAAATGATTTATATACTTAAATATGTATAAAATTGTTCGTAGTCGAGCACACAAATACATGTTCCGTTATTGTTTACAACTTTACAGATACACCTTAAATTACTCAGCATCAAACAGAAACTAATAACCTAACCGGTAAGTAGATTCTACCTTTCTTAAATTAACTAACTTACATATTATTTATTGTTATAAGCTAGAAATAACACGACAATTTTTTCAAAGTTGTATATGAAAGAACACTGTGATTGAGTATGAAAAGAAGGAAATCTAGTAAATCTATTCTGGTATGCAATCTTACGAAACTAACACTTATGCAAATTAGACTCTCGCTTACGGATTCTATCTTTATCGGAGATGATGGTATCAGCTCGTAACATCGAAGACATATATTCCAGATATTTCATAAAAAAAACGTTATGTTGTAATCCCCTTTAATCGATGTATTTGTACTACATATACGTGCGGTTAATTTTGAAAGTGGACTCGGTCATATACTTTTTACTTTTTATTTTATCTGTGTTTGAATACGTTAACAAGTATTTGTATAGAATGTAACAAAATATTTCAGAAAATATTTAGTTGTGAAAAATGAGAATTTATTATGACTGTGTAATGTTGCGTGTAACTTATAAGGAAATATGACTTTTGATCTTCGAAACGACTTGGATCATTTTCAGAATTAAGGACGCATATGAAAATTGAAAAGAAAGATGTGTTATGAAATTATTTAAACGTTAAGGAAACTTATTTAACTACAATAGATATATTCACGTTAATAGCACAGTTATTTTGTAAGAAATGGTGGTAATAAAATAATCTGCTCATATCGATCAATTACAATTATTTGGAATTTTAATAATATTTACAGAACTGTTTTATATTTTAAGAAAATATATTGCACGTTTATATACGATCATCATAGTTTTACATTATTAGTATAATATTATTCTACGTCTACTATTAACCTTTTCTCACTTTTTAACAATGGATTTTTTTATTCCGTTGACAATTGTGACACAAATTTTCTGTTTCAAGAAGGTAAATCGACCTTTAACATTGTTTATAGCAAGATTTGTTTTCGTCGAATTGCGTCTCTATTATAATTTTCTTTTCCTTTCAAATCATTCAATTCTACGGTATTTTATAAATGTGCGTCTGTTATATAGCTTGAGCCATTGAATTATTAAATTATTTCTTAACAATATCTATAAAGGTAAACATATGTTGCAGATAATAAAATTATTAAATTAATAGATACATTTTCCGCGCCTCTTTCAAAGAATGCAGCTACAAAAAAATTGGAAAAAGGAATCTCTTCCTTGATCGTTTTATTTTCACAAAATGAAAATTTACGTTTGTACAGGAGATACCAAATGTTTGAATTTTAATATGAATTTTATTTAAAGCGTTGTAAGGATTCATTGAATTATTGTCAAGACTGATTAAATATAATCGGAAATTTGATTCGGAGGACTGCAGATGACGAACAATACGATTGACCACTAGTAGCTTAGTGCAGAAATTGAGTAAGACTTTTAGGAGCTAGGCATTTCGTTGAAGAAATCGGTGAATCACATTTCTGAGAGTCATCGATGTCAGGTCGATTCCATTCAAGGGTGAAAACGCACTATTACGAGGCTAATCACGTTCTGGTACATATCCCGGATATTTACGCAACGTTTCGATGAATCAAAGACAAATTCCGAACAGCCATGTGTGGCTGGGGAGACGCATGGAATTTGGATGCAACTTGGTCACCATGATAATTGCATACTCGAAATTCTTGTTACAACATATACTCGTTCCGAGAAAGTTGAGGTGTCGTTCACTTTCAACGTGTGTATATACGTATGCCGATACAGTTACTTACAACTATAGCTGTCAGTTTAAGCGATAATGTCTGTTGACATATAGTTGTACAGATTGTTTATATTTTTACGATAATACATTGTGAATATACGGTATTAGTAGTATTAATTACATTGTTTTGGTAATATTTGACAAATTACTTAGATGAATTTCAATACTTTTTCAGGCATAATAATTTACCATTGTTGTTAAATATGAAACATAGCAGTGAAGTTGATGTGTTGTATTTGTAAAGTGCACTTGAAATAAAACTGTACAGTTTTGTAGCAATTTTTCAGAAATTTATAGTTACTGAGTATAGTGTGACAGTTCACATACTTTTAGACTTTTAGGTAGAAATATATAATTACATAAATTTAGCGCAGGAATTCGTTATTATTGAATAATAGTCATACGGATCGTTTACCTTCGAAGTCCATTTTATTTTGTTTCGAGGTACTGAAGTGTTTGCGATTCTACCGGCTGAGAAATCCTGTCAGGTTTACTTCGTTCATTTGCGATTCTATGCATTTAAGTAGATGTAAATTCATCGCAGAAACTGCTTTTTGAGAATCAGCTAAATTTATACCACTGAACAAATTTATAACACTTTCAAAATGAATGATTACATAATTCCATTTAGGAATAATATTTCGATTAACGAAAATAAACGAATCTTTTCAGATTTCAATTATAACTTGATTATGCATAAAACGTTCACATTAAAATATATGTTAATTTTTTGTTTACTCATTTTTGTCAACAAATGGACTCACACCAGTTTCAGAATAAACGGCCTATGTATAAAAACATTACATTCAAATTTTAATGTGTTGAGTATACTTTTACGATTTTTAAGTCGATGACTCATATGTGTCATTACTTCCTCCTTTATATATGATCACTGATGCGTAAGATTTCAAGGAATCTATCGGAGAGTAACTTGTATTCATTTACACTTCAATGAGCTTAACATTTCATTACGGATGAGAGTTTCTCATAAATCGAGGATATACAGGATGTTATAACTGTTTTTGGATGAAAAACTGATGCTCCGTTGTAAATGATTCATTTAAGTCATACGATCGTTACATCGGATTTATGACAATTAAATGAACCTGTGAATATGTCAGAAGATACTATCGTCTTTACATAAAATTTTAATCTTTCTGAATAGCACTATAAAAGTCAGGATTATTATCCTTAAACTACTTAATAAATACACATTATTATTAATAATATTAGTCTGATATACATAATCCAATTTTTCGCAGAATGTTATATTTTACTTAATTTTAAAGAACCTTTATTAATGAAAATATAGAATTATTTTCTTTTTTCAAAGAAATGTTTTTCCTCTTCACTCCTGCAAATTTGAGTTTTACGTAATCTAACTACAAAGATTTCATTCTTATTTTTGTCATTTTGTAGTTAAAATTAAATCTCTTTTGAAAGAGTTAGTGATAACAGCTCGAACTTATCTGTTTCCTTTACAGTACAGCAAACAGTTTCACATTTGTCAGTTCAGGATATCGAATAATTTAAGCTCTTGAATTTTTTAAAAGAAACAGTGGTAACGTATGAGTACGAATAAATGAAAATATTTAACAATTTCCCGTAAAGAATTTTCATAATTTCATTTCATGTTTTATGTTTAACAACTATGTACCCGAACTGTCTATTTTCCACCTCCGATTTCGAAGATCTAAATAAACGAACGTTAACGTTTCGAAGAACGATAAAAGAAATTACACGATAAATGTTCGTAAACGTAGCGTTAAGTTTCCTGAAAACCAATGATTGTCGCTTTGTTAGCGTATATTGCAGATCTAAATTCCTGTTAAATACTGTAAATAATTTCATTTCCATTGAAAAGACGCCTTCATCGTTCGAAATGTCTTCGGAGGAGCCGCTTGTCGTCGAGTCAGTTTACCTATACGAGAAAGAAAATGCAACAGCTCATCACACGATCAATTACGAGTTGGTACATTTGGAGGAACCAACTCTTGTCTTGAGAAGAGGTCAGACTTTCAATGTCGCTCTCAGATTTAATCGTGACTACGTGGACGAGACGGACATCGTCAGACTGTTGTTCAGCTTCGGTCCAAACCCTAATGTTCTCCGAGGCACAAGAGGGGTGAACACCGTTACCAATAGAGACAGTTACTTGACCGATTTGGAAGCATGGGGTGTGCGTATGGTCGGTATCAACGGCGTGGATCTGTCCGTAGAGGTCAGAAGTCCTATCGACAGCCCTGTTGGTGTTTGGCAGTTGAATGTTGAAACTACCACCGTAGGCAGCAAGAAAGCCCCGAATACGTACAACTACGAGAGGGATATTTATTTGTTGTTCAACCCATGGATGAAAGGTGAGGCAACTTGACTTATAAATGATCGAACAATGCGTTAGGATGAGAGTATCAAATTTTGAAGCTGAATAAAATATAAATGTAATTTGTAGTTTCTGCTTATTCGACGATTAGTGTATAATAATATCGTGGGAATTTAATATAACAAATTTTTGCGTTTCAAATAAAATATCGCAATCGATTGAAATTCTTTTACGACTGCGATATAACAGGTGAAAGTACCTTTATTTTTATTCCAATGGATTGCAGTTGCAGTTATTAAATATTCTGTAATTAGCTTTAAATTTTCAATGAAATAATTGACATGTGTCTATAGAACTAAATTTTATATCCTATGTCGAATGAGCCATGTACATACAAATAGATGGTAATTATTTACATAAGTATATAAGGTCAAGGTTATTACAGTAGCCCTCCTAATATAAATGATTACCTAACAAGTACCACTTAAACAAGAAAACTGTTTTGAGTTCGACTGAAAACAAGAGTCTATAAAGATACCAAATGACGACAAGAATACATGCAAATGTATTATTAATTATGTTATTATATCATATAATATTACAAATGCAATATCGTTAAATCAAAATTAAACTCAAAGATAGTAGAACATCATTCCATTGTAATAATTGAAATGTAAGTGGATAAAAATTGTACATTTCAATGCGTTTATGTTTGCAGAGGATCTCGTATTCATGGAGGACGAGCAGTTATTGGATGAGTACGTGTTAAACGACGTGGGAAAGGTATGGGTTGGTCCGTGGGGTAGTTCTCGCGGCAGAGAATGGGTCTTCGGTCAATTCGATGCTTGCGTGTTACCGGCTTGTCAATTGTTGTTAGAACGATCTGGCATTAAGGCCGTATCTCGGGGAGATCCTGTTAAGATGTGTCGTGCCATTTCGAGAATTGTAAGTTAACGTAATATTTAAATTGATGAAATTAGATACTCTACAAACGAATCAATAAAACTTAAAGCAATTAAAAATTGTCATAAACTACGCATTTTGTTGTTATTTTTCTTATACTGTGATTAAATTGGCAATGTCAAGTTTAAACAATAAACGTTGTCATTTTAATAAAGTTCAATTAAAACATTGTAAACGAAGAGCCATAGCTCAAGCAATTACTTTCTGCCACCTGAACGAACAGCAGAAGAAAATCGGCTCCACGTTCGACATGTTTAAATGTCTGATAATCTGAATCATTGAATCTTTTAAGCGAATGGAGTATATATACATTAACGCTAGAACTACCGATTTAATACGATTCACATCTAATCCTTATGAAAATGGTAACCATAGATTTTTCTCGGTTTCTTCAGATATTCATTACAGTATTCGAGTGAAACTATTTATTTTCCAAATTATTTAGGATATTTAATATTTCTCAGATACCAATAATCGTGAAATAAGAAAACTGAAACCAGTCATTCTGACTGGCACGGTAGTTCTAGTGTAAAGTGTATAGTAGTACGATTAACTAGTTAATCTTCCCGTTTCATTTTTCAACAAGTCCCAAAACAGTGGACGTGTTCGCTATTCCCACAAATTTTATAAATATTTAACAATGAAATCCTCCGAAATGCTTCCTAAGCATTGCTGACCTCAAAAGGGTGAATGCCTTTTAAACGTAATTCAACTTTCAGATAAATTCCAACGATGACAAGGGCGTGATCACTGGACGGTGGGACGGTGACTACGAGGATGGCACAGCGCCTGCCGCATGGACCGGAAGCGTGCCGATTCTGGAGCAATTCTTAGAAACCGGTGAATCAGTGAAATACGGACAATGCTGGGTCTTCGCCGGAGCAGTAACTACCGTGTGCCGAGCTCTTGGAATACCATCCAGGGTGGTCTCGAACTTAGTTTCAGCTCACGATGCGAACGCATCCCTTTCGGTCGATCGTTACTACGACAAAGACAACGAGGAACTCGAATACGATCCTAATAACCTCGAGGGCGAAGACTCTATCTGGAATTATCACGTTTGGAACGATGTGTGGATGGCCAGGCCGGATTTGCCTAAAGGGTACGGCGGCTGGCAAGCGATCGACTCAACCCCGCAGGAAACCTCCGAAGGTTTTTACCAGTGCGGTCCAGCTTCCGTTGAGGCTATCAGGCAGGGGGCTGTCGGGTACAACTTTGACGTGACCTTCATGGTGGCTTCGGTGAACGCTGATCTTATGAGATGGAAAGAAGACCCTGAGAGCGAGCTCGGTTACTCGAAAATCGACTGTAACAAATATCAGTGAGTATCAGTGTCACTGTGTTTAACACTAGGTTTACTGTCATTTACTGTACAGTTTATTCTATTGTACCTGGACAAGTTGATGTGCGTTTATTTAGGTATCGGAGATAAGGTGTTTGATAATATAATATAATCGATGATTAGGATACGCCTTTGTGCGATTGCATCAATCGAAATCTGAGTAAACATTTGCAAAATAATATTTATAAAATTTAATATAGCATCAATTGGGCAAGGTGATATTTCAATAGTGATAATGAAAGCACTATTCTTACTAGTGATAATGAAAGCATACTGGCGTAGTATTGGAGACTTTTTTAAAAATATAAACACCTTTTGTTTATGATCAATATTGTAGGAACGTTTGGAAATGATTTAAAGAAATTGTGCTAAATATTTACTTTGGGAGATATTTACTTTTACAGTCATCGAGATGAGAATTTAAATTTAAGTTAAATTGGAATCAGGTTTATCTTGTATTTAGATTCAGAATTAGATACGTAGTAAATAAGAGTAGCTGCAATTGATAATTATTAAATTTATTAGTAATATTGAATACGCTTTTACGTACTGTATTTCGGAATTGAAGGCCGAACGATAGTTATAAATGTGCATAAAGGAAAGTTGTTCAACATGATGTCCTTGACAACATATTTCAAGGCATTGAAATCGACGGAGCGTAGCTGTTTGTAAATATCTACCAAAATGTTAAAACCTCTTTTGCAAGTAACATTTGAATGCCTATTTTCATGTCATCTTGTATAGAAAACTCCGCTGTTTTCGCGCACACTTTCATTTTTCTTACTAAGCATTGCTAAAGTAAGGAAGAACAAAATTTCTTTCCACTGTTACATCCAGTAAGTTATTTTTATTTCACTTTCACTGGTTGAAGAAATTCAGGAGCTAAAATTATAATACTTTGTATCATTAACTTAAAATACAAAATTAGAATCCTTTTTCACGTTTATCAATAGTATTCATCTTCAATTCCATTTTATATATTCCCTTTATACGAATTTCAATTGGAACTACAAAATGACAATAGAATGCAGTTTTATCGAAGTCTCTGATATTGTATAAACCTCATCTGACGTGTTGAATTATTGAGAGAAGAGGAATACTTCTGTTCAATGTCGATTTAAGTGAATCACGCCCACGGGATTTTATGTTAATGGAAATCCGCAATTTAGTCATTACTATGAACGTAAAATCTGTCAATTGCAAATTGAGCGTTGCATCCACAGTCTCGTTGTTTTTTTCCTGAGTCATCTACTCCTTCTAAATTCATTGCCGCCTTAGTAATCGTGACCTTGGAGCGATCACGAGGAATGTCACGCACAGTTCATTTGCATAATCTTATACATAGCATGTAACAACAAAATATTTATGCAAATACTTTTTAGTACTTTACAACCATCTTCGCATAACCTGGTAACGTATTGTTCGTTAAATTGACGCATCGTTTTCTTCTTCTCTAAGGAAAATGAAAAAATGTTATTCTCTTTGTTTAACAGTATTGGCCGCATGATACTGACAAAAGCACCTTGGATTTTCGATCCCAATGGCGATAGAGACAGAGAGGATATAACGTCGTTGTATAAGGCGAGGGAAGGTAAATGTCCATAAACACTAGAACTATCATACCAGTTAAAGTAACTGGTTTAAAAGCATTGAATACTCGAATTAATCTTGAGAATAAATAGTTTCGCTTAAATACTATAATGAATGTCTTAAGAAACTGAAAGTAATCTATTGTTATAATTTTTATTGGTGTTATGCATTAATCGTATTACATGCTCGGTAATTCTGGTGTTAACCGTTTTAAACATTAAAATATATGCTGAACTTCTAAATTAATCTTTAGTATCACAACTTCTTTATTACGCCTAGGAGAATTCCTTAAAAATAAGTGAAAAGTTCTGACGTAACAATTGTTTATATAAATCGAAATTTTGAATATGAGCCATTAAATTATAGTGTTAAGACATTACAGATTTTTGAACAACTTTAAAAGAGAAATAGAAGTGTACGTTGAATTGTCGCGAACGTTCAGTGAACTGATCAACGATATAAGCGTTGTGAATCGACGCTGTCTCAGCTTCTGTCGCAGCTTTGCTATAAACATATGCTAAGTAGTTGTGGTCGGTACCCTGATTTAATCGTTTCTATTTTTGATGCGGTATAATAGCAACGCACGACATCCTTGTTTATTGCATCAGCTCATTTCATGCTTTATCTAGGTTTTCCTGCCTCGATGGCCAACGGTCTTAACGCTAGAACTACCAGTCAGGATTACTGGTTTCGATTATTTTGTTTCAAAATTATTGCTATCTTAAAAGCATCGAATATTTGAAATGATTTTGAAAATAAATAATTCCACTTGAATACTATAATGAATGTCTGAAGAAACTGAAAATATCTATTGTTATAATTTTTATAGGAATTATATATGGATCATATTAAACGCTCAGTGGTTCTAGTGTTAACACTGAAGCATCATTAGCAATTGCAGTTAGTAATTGTTGGATTTTACTCTGATCCAAAGTGTTTCTGCCATTTTGGGTAACATCCCTTTAGCAGCTTGCACGCTACTATAGCCGACAATAGCTCCATGTGTTCCTTGACGATTTACTGTTATTTATGTTTTATTTATGTTCAAAGGGTTAACATCGTCCGTTTTTTATCTTACCTCCAGCTATTACTCCAGTTTCTGCTGCTATTTACCTCGCAGATTATGTATGGACAATGTGTATCTATTATTTAATATCTATTATTATTTTCTTTACATTCAGGAACCGAGGCAGAACGTTTGACGTTGTACAGAGCTGTGCGTAGCACTGAGGTCGCTAAAAGATTTTATTCGTTGCCCTCTCCTGGTAAAGAAGACGTTCAGTTCGATCTCGTGGATCTTGAGCGTGTGAACATCGGCCAACCGTTCGCCGTTACGGTACGCATGAAGAATAAATCGAACCAACCAAGAACCATTCAAGCCATTTTATCTGCTGGTAGTGTGTATTATACTGGGGTTAAGGCGAATTTAGTGAAGAGAGCGTCCGGCGATTTTGTGCTTCAACCCAATGCCAGTAAGTTGAAACTTATTCATTTTGCATCCTAACATCTTACATTGATTTAATGTTGATATTTTGAGATAGTTTTCTTTGGTCAATATGTTGATCTGTCTAATATCAAATTTGTTAACATTGTACGCCGGCTAAATTTCAGCTACTGAAATCTATTTTTAAACATCAATCAAACAAAAATTTGCAACTTACGAAAAAGAACAAGGAATACGATTTTGTAATTTTACTTCGGATTTGTGTTATACGTATCTAAAGTGCTACATTAATGTATGCAATTCAACGATAGGCTGAAAATCCTGCAATTACGTGTACCGGTGTACAATGTGTTAATATTGTGTTTGATGCGATAACTTAATGATACATATGTACGTACATACACCTGTCCCTCCACTTACACAGAGTATCCGTTCCATGTAGATTCGTTGTACACGAATGAAAATCGCGTAAATAGAGTCCGTCAGTACAAAAGAAAACAAAGTATTGCAAAGAAAATCTGGTATAAGTATCAGAAATACATATTTATTTCATATAGCTTAACAAAAATACAAGAAGACATTTCAGAAAACAAAAGTAAATTTTAAATCGCATATAAATAATACCGCGTTAATAGTTTTATAATTTACCGCGTAACAAGAGACCAGTGCAAAAAAGTATCGTGGAAATGGAGGGGCGGGTGTATAATGTTTGATACTGCTTTTTATATTCCTCTTACTGTATTCCTTGTTTCTTCCACCTACATTATATTTACTTTATACTGTTTGTCTAAAATTTGATATATCGACATGTTCTATTTAACAAGGTGAAGAGTTGAGACTCGCGGTCACGGTGGACGATTATTTAGATAAATTGGTGGAATACTGCATTATGAAACTATACTGTATTGCCACGGTTAAGGAAACCAGGCAAACATGGGCTGACGAGGATGATTTCCAGGTCTTGAAACCCAGTATTACAGTTAAGGTAAAGCAATTAGTGTCCAAAAACAGTATCCATTTCAACTTTGTATAAACTTTTATCCATTAACTGTTAAGTGTATGATCTTCTTAAACAGTAATGAAATATTTTTAAAAAATAGCCAATTTATGTGTTAAACTGTAACAGAAAAATAATGTTTAAAATCCGTGTTTCTTTTTCATTTTTTTCACTTGAATAAAAGCTATTGTTATTTTGGCTGATCTACAATAAGAATAAAACAGACAATTGTGTTTCTAAATGGCAGTGAGTCAGAATAAAGTAGTATTTCTAATCTTGTAGTTAAATAATATTTTTACTATACTTCTTAAGTAATAACACAGTTAGCTGTGAAATTAAAATAAATTTTATTTTAATGTTGGTTCTTATTATATTTAAACCCTGCTGCAATAATATTTTCGCAAAGTGGAAGAAGTGACATTGTTGAAGCTGGACATTAACGTAAAACAATGTTATTCGAGAAGTAATATCAATAGTATAATTGAATTTGTAAATTTTCTTAGAGAATAATTTACTGATATAATATTCCTTCTATAAAATAGGAAAATAATATTGTTTAACGTAAATGTACATCCATAAAAAACGACGAACTTGTAATACAAATTCAACGCAACGCGAAGGATAAAGGAAAAAAATATTTTTTAGATTGACGGCGATCCTACTGTAGGAAAACCATCAACGATCAGTCTCAGGTTCAAAAACCCGTTGAGGAGGGTGCTGACAGAGTGCAAATTTAACTATGCCGGACCGGGACTCTCGAAAAACAAAACATTGGTATTCCGAGACGTTGAACCGGAAGAGGACGTTTATGTAGAGCACCAATTGATCCCACAGAAATCTGGACCACAGAAGATCATCGCGACCTTTACCTCGAAGGAGCTCCTAGACATCACAGGATCAGCTGCTATTGATGTTCTCGACGAAGACGAATAAATGTATTCCATTGAATTTTACTGTTGCTCGTGATCATGAATTTTTAACCCTTTGCACTCGAGGGCTTCGGAGCAGAGCCATTTAAAATTTGTCATCACAAACTGTAAAATTTTGTCATTAAGTATATTATAACATTCATATCTACAATCGATAAAAAACAGTGAAATACATCTATGACTTTTCTTTTCATGCGCGTATCATTTATTTATATGTTAATATACTTTTCCTATTAAAATTACTTCGAGTTGTTGGTAATGTCAGTAAGAAAAAGATTCGAGTGTAAAGGATTGATATATGTTATATGTTCTTCTACACATTTTGAATTTTTTTTTCGTTTTTGTTCGTTTAAAAAAGAATTGTATCAAATTCCGAATTTAATGTGTACCATACCTGTGAGTACTAGAGATACATTTGTAACACATGATGTATAGTAAATTTAAAGCTTTCATGACCTGGGCGATCAAAGTTGTTTGAGGTTTTTGGATAAGAGCTGTGTCCTAAGAAATTTATCCCAACATTTCAGCTACGAACAATTACAAAAACTACCTGATTACTAACCACTGTGACTTGAACATGAGTATTATACAGGGTGGACTACGAAACGTGATTAACTTAGATTATTCTGCTGCTAGCGGTTCGATCGGAAATTTTATTAGCTAAAATAACACGGTTCAAGGAGAGCTTCAAGATGTTTGGATTAGGTTTGACTTGAATTTAAAATGGATTTTATTTAGATAGCAGAGATATTTTTCTTTTTTCGAACTTGTTTAGCTTTGGGGTGAGTTAGGTCAGGGTTGGGTTCAGGAAAAATTCATTTCCGCCAAAAACGAATACAATTTTTATATTTAAGATATTATTAATAGTTGAATGTTGTATATGTGTTTAACATTTAGAGAGAGGTGGAGTAGTAGTAGTAAATTTTATTAATTTTTCAATTATTACTATTCTATGCCACACGCTATTGTATTTAACGTAATTGTTTCTTTCGTGTATTTTTACATAGTTAATATTTGTTAATAATATAATATTTATAATATTTATTAAGAATAATCATTTTCCACAATGGTTCTATTTTTCCAATTATATTTCTGAAATTTTGAATTTGCACAGAGATCCACTGTCTAGTGATAGGAATCAGAATAAAAAATATTGAACACAGACTTGAAATACATATAGACTATGCACATAATGTATTTTGCTGTCTACTGTCCTGAAATACCGACACCGTAAAAAATGCCCAGATACATTAAAACTTTCACGACCGGTGACACCCAAGTGGTGCCATTGGCAAGCTGGTCGTTATTTGCCGGTGACACCAACGTGGTACCATTTGCATCCCGTTTATTATTTGCGGTGACCTCAACGTGGTGCTATTGGAAATTACACGTATTACACGTATTTACACGTATCATTTAATAAAAATCAGCTAAGTTTATTATGTTGTAATGAATTTTACATTTGTACATTTTAATGAACAACTTTGCAAAAAGTTCCGGCGACAGAGAAGAAAATTTTTGTGAACCGTGCGGACGTGAAAGTGTTATTGGACTCCACTTCAATTTATGGAAGCGCAAGGACTAACCAATACGACACCTAGGTCAACCAGCTCGAAATACGTCACTAACTTCATAGATCCAAGACTGCCAATAGCTTTTTTATTTTCATTTTTACTTAGAAATTACGTGTAATAATAAAAACAGAAGACAGTAGTCTACATTTGTACAGTAAATAAGTTTAATAGTAGTTATTAGACTTTATTATTATTATAATAATCTTTAAAATGATCAATGCATAGTGAAAAGAAAACTGCGCGAATGCAAATGGTTAAATAACTGAATAAATCACTAGAATAAGTTAATAAGTTAAGTTACCAAATAAAGACTGGTTCATGAGACAGTAACTAGTAAGGCATCGACGGAAGAAAAAGTCTTACGTGAAAATATAAAATACAAACCTAGAAAAACTAGAACGCGTCGTTTGTGTTACTCCGTGATTCCTCAGTACTACGAGTCTTGTCGTTCTCCTACAAATCCAATGGTCAACTATTGAACTATACAAGCTTGCAACATGAAAAGTTTGTGCCTGGTAAGTTATGTTTTTATATAAATTTTACAGCTGTAATTTATGTAGTAAATCTATTTATAAAAATACTTGCGCTTGTGGATTAATAAAAACTGCATTGTCATGACGTTCTATTGAATAAACAACAATAAATAAAACTGAAGTAGCTTCGCGCGTTGGGAGTTTGAAAAAATGGCAACATTGAAACGGATACGTTTCTATAATGGTTTACCATGTTTACTATTTGGTCGACTTCGATCATTTCGCTTGATGTAGTTTTCCTATTGACCGTTCTTTAGGCGTAGAGGGCAGAGCAGAACCTTTGATTTTTTATACAGTCGGTAATTCAGAGCACGTGGCACCGAGTACCATACACTTGCAGTATCTATCCTATACTTCGGACTGTAATGCATCTAATCCGATTTCTGCTTACAAGCCTAAAATTTTCTATTATCGGTAACGTCGAACGCGACACAAAAATGGTTAGGGGTTCCTAGGAACCCCGGTAGCGTGTGACAAAATTTTACATTGCATGTTACGTCTATGACAGTTTATCGTATACCTCGTGTGTGCTGAAGTAAACAAATTGATTTAATACGCTGTAGACGTTACATCTTGGTAATGTAATTTAATACCTCTCGATAGTACTAGTTGAAGAAAGTTAATACAATTTAATTGATACTATATTATGTTATAATAATGTTTGTTGCATTTTTTTCGTATTTCGCAGTGCAAAACATATAACCTAAATAGTGATACAGTTGTTTAATGACATCAATGTAACTATTGCAATAATTACAATTAATTCATGTTTTCTAAATGTTAAACTCTGTCAAATGAGGGTGAGTAGTAGGAAGTTGTATATTGAAACAATAAAAACTTAGTCACAAGTTCATGTTTGAGAACAAATATAAAAACAACTTTGCTATGAAAATGCATGCAATTCGTGACATATTTGTATTGTTTCAAATAGTGAATTCATTTTGAGTAGCTACTCATAAACTAATGTTTTTATAAATTCTGTACATAGAAAGAAGGGCAAAATTGAGCTGGAAGTAACAATGGCGGATGTTGTACTGAAGTATTTGAAAATACAAAACAGACCTTATAGTATTAATGATATAGTGTCTAATCTACACAATGAATATGGTAAAACGGCAGTTCAAAAAATTGTAGATAAACTGAAGGCTGAAGGATATATATTTGAAAAAGTAAGATAATTATTGTCAAATATCTAGTACTATATGATAAATAATATAATCAAAAACAAAATTGTTTAATGCGAATAAGTTGAAGTTGTGAAATAAACTGTTCACACATGAGATTCTGAAATTATAAATTTGATTTCAAATATTTGAGATTAAATGTATGTTCATCAATAATTGTTTCTATCTTGTTAACACATTTGCAGTTATTACATAGATATAATGATTAATTATTGTTAATGAAATATAAACATGTCTTTTTAATGGCTATAATTAATCGACGGTCATAAACATGTTATTTTAAAATGAATTTTGTAATTAATATGCTCTTTTTAATCATAGCAGCATGTGATAACTAAATTTAATCTTTTCAAGTGATTTTTAATTATATAGGAATAATTAGCTGCAAAAGTGTTAATATTTGTAAATAATGAAAGTACGATTCTAAAATAATATAATAATATCGATAGAAAATAAGTGCTCCAATTAATTATTTTAAAAATGAATTATATAAAAAAATGCTATTTTATATTTTCAACATATATTTACATATGTTATTACAAAACATTTTATAGATATAAAGTAATATAAATATGTAAATTTTGCATCAGGTCTATGGAAAACAAAAGATTTATTGTGCAGTTCAGGATTCAAATTTAGATGTAGAGGAATTAATGAGGATAGATAAAGAATTACAGGCACATGCCAATGAAGTTGAGAGCAAATATCAGGAATTGGAAAAAGAGATTAAAGTACAGGAAGCTTTATTAATGTCCATTAAATCTAGTATCACAATTGAAGAAGCAAAAGAACAAAAGGAGGTGCTCAAAGAAAGTATTAAGATATTAACAAATAAGTTAGATGCATTGATGGAAGCAAGTGGTACCGAAGATTTGACTGAATCGAAAAGAAAAGCAGAGAAAGCACTGAATGAATATTCTCGCGAATATGGAAAACGAAAACGTTTATGTACTGAAATCATAGATTGTATATTGGAAAATTATCCTCATAGTAAAACTGAATTATATGAGGAGATAGGTATAGAAGCAAAAATTGTTTAATAATAGTATTTTTCTGTCTGTATTTCATCGTTTGAGTGCCAAGCGGCGCGATCGCGCTTTTCCGTTACACTGCCTAAAAGTGCCAGTCTATCGGTTCATAGAATCAGATGAAACTTATTTATTTCTTCTCCTCCTAATTATCCATTTTTATATTTGTTATTATTCACTTAGAACTGAAAGAACGTAACGATCGGTCTATTTTAAATTTGTGTCTGTAAAAATAGAAAAGCGTAATTCAGTTTCTAAATTGGAACGAAAGAAGCGCAATCGCGCTGCTTGGTAGTTTTTGACCGGGTTTTTGCAAAAACCCGTGGCACTCAAGTGGTTAATGTAATGTTATCTTATTCATTATATTTATATACAAATTTATATTTTTATACTTAAAGTAAGTAGTTGTGTAAGTTAACTATTAATATTCTGTTCGTATATTCAAATATTTTTAAATAAATAACATTCATAAATTATACAATTTTATAAGTTAACAAACATAAATTTATTTTATCTTTGCTGTATACCTTTTTCATGTTTAACTTCTGTTCCTTCCAATACACATTGTCCATCAAGACATATCTATTAAAGGAAGAGTAGAGCAGTAAAGTATATTTTAAGCTTTGAACTATTCAGATTATATTGACGTATAAAATTATTGAATGGGATTTATAAATATTATAAACTTACGAGATTTGTACCACAAGAAGAACCTTCTGCTGCTGCTGCAACCGCTGCACATACACCATTGCTGTCGGGAACTTCGCATTCTAATCGATAGCAGACTTCAGACTCGTTTTCCTAGAAAGTTCTAGAATATTAGCATATAATTTATCAGTGTAGTTTCTAAATACTTACTTTACATGCTATGCCACCGTAGACTTTTTTACACTGACTATCAAGAGACATAAGTTTTCCAGGCATGAGACGTCTTATTGCTGTAGCTTTCGGTGGCTCGTCATAAAGGCATTTTGCTGTATCTTCGCTAAAATAGTTGCAGAACATTTTTATAAATACTTTTTTTAAATTTTTTCATCTTTGAGGAGCTAAAGAATCAAGAGCTCAACAATAGTTTTTGACATTCATTCCTTTTAATTTGCAATTGACCTTTATCAAATTGTTTAGCAAGTTGAACGAATAAGGATTCTAAGGAACAGAAAAAGATGTACAAAGAAATTGCAAAATATAATTTTTATTTATATTTTATTGTGTTTTATTTGGAATATCTCACTTACAAACATTATCAACGAATAACTAAATTATTTCCGCTCGTAATAATGAAAGCGATATATTGAAAACGTATTTTTTAAAATCATTTGGCGTTGTAAGAAGTCAATTTTAAGCAGATTTTAATGATTTTCATACAATATTTTACTATTTAAAATTACTTTGATGCTAAAGTATTGTAAATTGATGAATTCATTTTTTTTCATTATATTTTTTTCATGAGAAAGAAATGACAAAGAGAAATTTTTACAGTTCTACATTATCCTTACAATAATATTGAACATTTTATTATGATTATATTTTACTTGATTATTTATTATTTAACAAGTAATATAAGAATCTTACCTGAGGAATTTCTGGAGTGCCCTTATACTGCAAATAGACCACTTGAATTGATTTTCGCTTAACTGGAGTGTACCTGTCATCATGTAACCATCACTTGCAGGACACTTTTTAGTATCGTTTGTAGTGCCGTCATGGTGAGCCCCTAATCTGGAAATATATGTTTGAAATTACTTTCATTTTAGAAATATTTCTGTCTCGATTTGTTTAAACGATTAAACTTTATTTTTGGGCACCATTTTTAAAAACTTCTTTTATATACATCGATAATACTCGACGAATAAAGACTAAATTTTAAGTTTCAGGTTTAGGAATTCATTGGTTTAGAAGTTGTGTTGTGTTTAATTAATTAATAACTGTTGCGTTTCTTTCAAATTGTACGTAGTAACATGCAAATAATATGCCAAGGGGTTAACCCCTTGCTGTACGATGATGAGTGAAACTCTCGATGAAGATTTCTAGACGGATCGAAGCAAACAACTATTTTGCTATTATCAATGTATTAACTTCAAATGAAATTTTCACTTGAAGCAGAATGGAAAATTTTGTTGCATTTCTTCAAAATTGTCTATAGTAAAATATTACACGAGCGTAGTATGCGAAAGTAAATAATACGCCAAGGGGTTAAAAAAAAATAGAGACTTACAAATGCCCTAACTCGTGGGCTACTGGTATAATACCACTGAAACCACCATTGTCTTCTGCTATTCCGACAGCTTCTGAAGTTTTTGTTGTACTGTTTCTATTGCATGCACCACGTACAAAAGCGTAACCTGTTAATGTTCATTTTCTGCGTTATACATATCCGTATATGGAAAGAATATTTGCATCGAATGTGCATGGTAATTAAAAGTAATAATTCAATAATAATTAATTCATAATAATTAAAGTATCTTCTAAAATTGAGATAGTATGGTATTAGTATGATAAAGGTATAATAAAACTTGTTCTTTGTTAGAATGGAAGTATGAGCTTTAAAAAACTAACTAAAAATATTAAGGAAACGGCATTATTACTGTTCAAAACAGATGATATAGGAAATAAATATGTAAACTTTAAAATAAATTTTATTAATCGAAATAAATTCAATATATTGTAGATATTTATCAAGAAATGTTTTTCTTAGCACTGACTAAATATGTATTTACCTATTACCATAATATGTTTAGTAGTATTTTGATTTGTTTGTTTATCATTCTTTACTTATTTGTATTTAAGTGGAAATTAAAGGTTTATAATTGATTAAAAAATGAAGCGATAATTTTACTTACCTAATGTTTCAGGGTCGCATAAATATTCATCTAGTTTGTTGCATAAATTTAAACTGTAAAAGCCAAATTGTTTTACAGTGTAACTTACAGGATGAATACAGTGTAAATTATTTTGAACTTTATTTTATCAGTAAAGTTTGTTCAATTACCGATCTTAAGTGCGTATATTATTAACTCATTGATCTAATATAGTTATTCATTTGTTGATATTGTGATTTTGATAAATTCTGCTTTATTTAATTAGATTCAAATAATTTCTGATGACTCACTGCGTTGTCGCCATTGCTATATCGTACATTTTCCATGGGAACCTTTTTTCTCTGTAAAAGTAAGTTGACATCCCAGTTAAAGCTTGATCAGCATCTACCAAGTTCGATTTAAGACGACTATTTTCAATGTATGGAACTGCTTTCATATCCTATAACAAAATTGATAAAAAATCAATTGTTTAATTATATTTTCTTAATGCGATATAAAAATGTAGAAATATTTCTATACGAAGGTAATTCTACGAATGCTTTTTCTAAAATTACAAAAAGTGTTAAATATTGAATATATGTTTGAGCACGTTTGAACTCATGGCAAGTTCATAGTGCTCAAATACATATTTCCATCCGTTTTTAACATAACGAAAATTTTGTTATTTATTTTTAACGTGTGAAACGTCTGAAAAAGTAAATCAGAAATTAAATGAACACATACCGTAGCTATAATGATACCAGCGATATTTAGTCGTATTTTTGGCTTCGTTAATGCACGGTACCGTAAGTCAACTCCATTCCAGAATGCAACAATATACCGTTTAGCTTGGTCAATGTTTCCGCCTAGAGATCTAAATTAAAAGTAGCATTCAAAGTAAAGAGGAGGATGCGTTTATAATACCGAAGTAAAAAGAAAACGGAAAGATAAGATGGATTAAATGGAGAGATACATTTTTCCATTTTTCCAAACATCGTGCCATTATAAAAGATGAAACAGCTCTCATAATTTTCTTGTACGTTAAACATTAAATGAGTCGTTCATTTGTCAAATTGATGAAGTCCACAAAACAAAAATTAAAGAAATCGGTGAAGAAAATCGTACGTCTTTGTTGCAGGCTCTAACTCGAATCGTTGGATAAATTACAGCATAATAATAAATAATAATATTGTTGTATCTAGGATTTCAGCGTAGTTAAGGAGAAATTATTTAAAATAATACTTACGCGTACAAAGCGTAATCAACGACTATTAAGATTTCTGGATAGACCACGTCCGGAATCGGGTACATTTTATTCAATGGGTTTGTTATCTCTAAAAAAGTATAATAAAAATCAGATTTACATAAAAATAATTCCACAGAAATTGAATAATAATTTATAGTATCTGATTATTTATAAGAATAATATAAAAACAAGTAATAATAATATCATAATATAAAACGAATATTATAAACATAGGTAATTGAAAATACACAATGAATATACTTTTATACTTAATTATTTTATAACTGTGAAATAAATTTACTTACGAAAACGTTCGTAATTCTTTTCCCGAATTTTTTCATAAACAATATGATGATAGGTGTACATTAAATTTTCCATTTCAGCCTCTTCATCAAAATGAAACTCAAAGAATCTGTCCTTTCCATATAAAAGATCAATAACGCGTTGTGGTAAGGAACGAATGACAAAATTTGATGAGAGAAATCCATCCTAAAACAGTATTATACGAAACAAGAAGTAAATTATTGTTATACATTATCATGCGAACGTACCATACGTAAAAATGTCTATTATGAGAAAAATTGCTATTTCATTTGCTAAAATATGTAAACTTCTTTAGGTAAGCTAACATTAAGTGTCACACTTTTCTTTGCACATAAGTTTTTGTTTTAAAATTATGGAAGTTTCGAAAAGTGACGTCAGCAAAACTTACAAAAGTGGGATATTTGTTTTTTGACGCAACTAAAACCGCCGCTTCTGATTTTTCGTCTTGCATTGGAGTTCCTATGTCCTGTAGTGCCTAAAATAATTGTTTTTTACATTTACTACTCGTTCTACAAAATCTTCAGTTGTGGTGAAATCTTAATTATTTCTTTCATATTTTTGCGTGTATTTTGAAAACTAAGGGTCTGAGATAAAATCTAAGTGTATAATGTAACCAAAAAGCGTTTGTTAAAGAAGCTTACTTTTGGTATGAGAGTGTAACGCAGTCCTTCTGGTGCTTGTTGATCTCCAGATCTAACAGTCCATAAAGGAGTATCTATGCTAGCAAGATATCCCTCAGTAGGATTTAAAGTGAGTTCAATATTGCGATTGAAGGTTTTCACGCGCATTTTTCTGGTACCATTTTTATGTATAGCATTTGAAGAATATAGTATCGGTACAACTTCATAATTTGGTACTGAAAGTAAAAATTTTAAAATAAAAAAATGTCTTAAAGATAGCTCAATAGTTTTCAACAATAGTGATAATTTTATTTTTAGTGACAAAACGGGTAAAAACAATTTTTAAATATTATTTATTTGGTGAAATTTATGTACTCGTAAAAATGTACATGGTCAGACATCATTCGTTTATAGCATATATGTTCAATCTTAATTAATTATTAATCATATATAAGTAAATTTAAAAAGCAGCATTAACATGTTGCGATTGTAAGTTATATCTACATCTCTTTCTTCATATTTACTTCATGTTTAAAAAGAATAGATTGTAATAACTGTAGTATGGTAATAATTCAATGATGTATAGCTTCAATGTTTACTTTTAACTTTTTTATTTTATACGTATTTTATATGTATGTTTCTGATTGTGTTTATGTAATAATTCTATTTGTATATTAAACATACCAGAATCATGTGTAGTATGGAATATTCCCATCACTTCATCTGCAGTCATCAATTCATGAAGCTGGAAAACACAATACAAAATATTCCACAGAATACTTTCTGTTACTATTTTTGCCTTCGAGGTTTAACAAAAATATTTTGTTCAGTGTTTTTCAAACAATTTTATAACTACATGCAAACTTGTTATGAATATTGAAAAATATACTTTACCCTATAGGAATGAATAAACGGAAAAACAGCCAAACAAAATGTGATAAACACATTCATTGTTGTAACAGTTCTGAAAATATAACAAGACGACATTCATTTGAACTATTATAGTAAAATAATTTTGCGATATTGAATTACAAAAATGATTAAAACTAATTTAGTCTCTTAAGTTGTATGTAGTATAATATTTTACTTAACTTTAGTTATTATATTTTTAATAATGTTTATTAAATATTTTTACAAATGTTTATTAAACTGTTTAAACCTCTGGTTGTTGCTATAAACGTGGAAACTGCAATGTATTACTACTGCGATTTATGAAATGGAAAATATACTGAAGATTAACGATCGATTATAACCAAAGGACTTACTCAGTTCGTTTTTTTAAATGGACATTAAATAAAACTTTAATGAATAAAAGCTAAGGAAAAATTTATATTTTGTTTCGTTATATAAAAGCTAAAATATGTAATACATACCTACCTTAGACGGAAATATAAAAATTTTACTTGCCCAAAGAATAAAGTTGAATCGAATACGATAGAATTTAAGTTGAACTAAATATAACAGTGGGAGGTGATACACTTGTACACACATTGCATGGTTTTTGATGAACACGATCGTAAAAGGAATAAGATTTACATACATAAATCAATCTACTGATACGTATTATATAATTAATAATACATTTGTCTTGATATTCAATGTAGAGTAGCTTTCTACGTACACCTATCATGTTAATCAGTGGTTTACTGGATTAATGAAAATCGAGTGAAATAATGTTATAATTTGTTATATACTTAGTACTAAATATTGGAAGTAAATTCATTTAACGGAAATTAGATAGGAAAAATTATTTTCAATTTGAGAATTGAAAACAAAATTATTTTCAGTTTGAAGAAACGGAAATATTACCAAAAGTTCAATTATGTTGCAAAACAATTGATAAAGCAGATAATGTAATGTCAACCACAAAATTAATCTTTAAAATTATGAGATCAGTTGATGAAATCCTTTTGGTAAAAGAATGAAGACAAAGTTAAAAACTTAAGAAAAAAATGACGAGCAGATTAAGAAATTGTTAAACTATCAAAAATTATTCGTTGCCTAAAGAAAATATTATAAAATTGATCATTACATACTTTTAAAAATAGATTTCACCAAACTACCTCTATAATAGCACCATACGAAGATGCATACAAAATATCAGGAAGATTTTCTAATCATATCTCTTTAATTGAAATTAATGAATATATAAAATTGCAGAAAATATGGAACAATTACCCATTTTATACTGAAATTTTTGCCAAAGATCAATACGAAGTCTTCTAATGTTTAATCGTAAACAACAGAAAAAGGTTTTTCGATTTATTTCGCAACACGTAGAAAAATATATTTTACTGTAGAGAATAATGTATTTTACTCGGAGAATAAATGTAGCGGATATTAGGTTCCTTCTTTATCGATTGCCTACAACACTGTACAGTGATGCTCTCTTACGTAAGTTACTGCATTATTTTATTATTAAAACGTCACGACGTGACGTTCAAATGAATATATAAGGAAGTGTTGACATTGGCAACATTGTACTGATTGTCATTTAAAATTTTAATCACTTTGATTCTGATTCCTATCACTTATAGCGCTGCCATGCAAAACCAGTCTTAGTCGATATGACAGCGCGTGACATGAAAATGGTAAGGAAGATTAGTTCCAATTAAGTCCAGGAATATTCAGCAATGCATGAGAATTTTAGTGATTGCCTAGGAGACGAAATAGGAGAAAGCTCTTTCGCAAACGGCCACACACGGTGAAGTAATAGTGAAATTTTGGAATCTTTATCGCTGTTTCCCATTTTTCGTTCCTTATCGGCGATATTCGATGATTTTCGATCTTACGCGCTTGCGGTTCCCACTATTATTACTTTTGGATATTTAATTATTGGAAAAATGTAATGAATTTTACGAGTTTTTGCAGCTGCGAAATGGATTATTTTTTTAATTCTATTGAGAAGGATTTTTCAGACGACCTACGGTACCTGCGCGTCCGTAATAAAAGTCGCGGCTGCTGAGTTTATCAAATTCATTATTCTTATCCAATTGACCGACAATGGATTGCGGTCAATGCGAAAACATTCTATTTTCTATTGTATTCAATTAAAACATTTTTGATTGAATTAACACTAGAACTACCATGTATTTAATGCAATTAATATGTAATCCCTATAAAAATTGTAACAATACATTATTTTCAGTTTCTTCAGACATTCGTTATACAATAGTATTCAAATTGAACTATTTGTTTTTAAGATCATTTCCTAATATTCAATGCTTTTAAGATGTTAATAATTGCGAAACAAACAAATCGAAACATCATTTGACTGGTACGGTAGTTCTAGTGTTAAATAAGATAGAAATCTGGAAGAATTGAAATCAATTTTGAAGGAAGACATTAATGTATCTCAGATTTTGCTTTTCTAAAGATTATTGTGATTATTGAACTTGAGGTGATAGAATTCGACGTATGATATTGATGACGATTTGTTTTACCACTGTTTTTATTCTTTATATTGATAGTTGAAAACAAATTATAGTTGTGTACATTTTATTTATGGTGAGATAAACGCTATGTGAATTTAAAATTGTTGAAAGATGTATATTTTTGTGTACGTAGAAAAGATATCCTACTGCGAAAATTAAACAAGGAAGTTCTTCGGTAGTCTCAGACGTCTTTAATAGATATTGAACTTCCCGTGTCGATAAAATGTAATCAAGAACCACAGAACATTTGATAATTTATGGAACTGTTTTACAAATGTCATGTTTCTTTTCTTAAAATGCTTTCTTTACAGTTTCCAATTTTTTTCTTCCACTTTAATTTCAGTGTTAGCTTAAACATTATTATTTAAATATCATCAATTAAATATGTGAATAGAAAATGCATCTAAATTTGATTAATTTTCGAAGCTCCATATTTTTCTTTTGTAAAAAATGTAGTTTTAATAGATTGTATGTATCGCGAGAAATTGAATGCAACCGAAGTTACACAGATCATTCTCGAATGGTCGAAGTATCTATATCAATGGCCTGTATAAGCGTCTTTGAATGATACTGAGACTTTCAGACCTTATTACTACAAAACATAGACACATTTAACATGATGTATCATAAAAATTTCATTTCTTACTTATGCTCTTTCCACCATCTATTTACAATTTCTTACCGATTAGTTTTCAATTTAATAAATAACTTGTGGTTTCGAAGGAAATAATAACTTAAAATTTGTCCACTAACTTTATTAAACTATTTAGAACAATATAAAAGCATACAAAAAGGAATCTGTGAAAATCAACCGAGTAATCAGAATTGGATTATTGTTTACGTAGATATAATATTTAACCGCGAATATTTATACAAACGTAGATTTTTAGAAACTAAATTACTCAAATTCGGATCAAATGAAAATTCGATCGAGAACTGTACTACGATGCAAGTGAGATATAAAAACCATTATGGCACCACTCATCGGTATATGGTGGTAGGACACTGTTCGATACAGTGTATTTCTAATCATACGTCAATGCGATGATTGAATTGCGAAAAGTGGAGCATGCGAAAACTTTAACATTCCCTGGTGAATGTGGACGTTCACTCTATTTTCTCCGATAAAACTGACATCGTCTGTCGCCGCATCACTTGTTGCATTGTCCTGGAAATAATGAGAATGTACTGTATAAACTACTAGCAATGTATATGGTTGCGACACACATATCTTATGCATGTATACGATCACGGTGTCTTTGTTCGGATGCATATAGCACGCCGTTTGAAACTAGGGTAGTCCGTTCATTGACGTCCGTGACCGAAACAAATTTTTGGTAAATATTGTACACCATCGCCATCAAATAATCCAGATCATTTGACATCACGCTTCGTTATTACCGGAAGTGTCTGCCTATCTATTTACGTAATACATTTTACATATTTAACGAACGTTAAATTCGGAGTTGCCAAATATAACATATATTGTTAAAAATCTTAATCCATATCCATTTTTGGAATACGTTTCAGTTTATACAAGTTAGAATACATTTAACTAAGAAACTGTGTACAGTTTTATAAACAGTCAGTACTTGATAAAATATATAAATGAATTATGCAGGATATTTAGGAATGAATGACAGACTTCAACAGAGTTATTTTTCTGCAAAAATATCTTAAGAACACGAGCAAATTTCTCTCGTTTGAAGCCTTGTGTTCGAGAAAATCGAATATGAAAATCTACGAAGAACGCGTTAGTATTAATACGAAGTAGAATTTATAAGTCATGATCAGACAGGTAGGTTAACGTATTCTTACTGAGTACTACGCGATTTCAGAGTTTCGAATTTGGTTTTTTCGAAGGAATAAGTTTTGTTAAGAAGTCATATTGCTTTTTATTCTTCTGACAGTTATACTTAATATGCGAATAAATATTGTAAATAAATAAATTTGCAGATGGTTGAAATTTGTCAAACATGGACAACGTAGCTTAACGATGTCTAATTTACTGCTGCGTTTGTCTTAAAAATTTCTTAAAAGGATACAGGACTTTTTGGCCAACCTAATATTACACAAGTATGTGAAATTAACGATTGACGTGGAAAGATAACTGTGAATTTCTTAGAGTTTTTTTAGGGAATTCATAAGTTTAGACATCGAATTTATTAAGGGAAACTTAGAGAATTTATAAGTTCAGACAACTAGAGGAGGAAGAAAAGTTGCGGAATATTATAGAGTTTGATAGCTCGGGTTAAATATGAGATATTAAGGACACCAAAGAATTCCAGGTTAGTCATGAATCACTGGGTGGTATCAAGAATGATTTAACGAGTAAATTGTAATCAAAGTTATTCTTTTTATTCAACATGTTTTACAAAAGTGTGATGATCTAACAACAAGTAAATTATAAACAAAGTTTTTTCTGAAAGAAGAGCATGAGCTTTTTATTTACATACTATAGAATGTACACATGCATGAAAAAAGTAATAGACAACTATGTTTGTGCAAAGGTATTTAATTTGAACGGACCTGATAATCCTCATTATTATCTGTTAAAGCAGAAATAGAATTCATTGCAGGTCGAATGAATAATGATTGTGCTTGTGCCGAATGATAATGCTTTGAAATGATTGATGAATAAATAAATAGTGTATTTTGAAATTGTAATCAACTTACAATGACTTTGAACAATTGGAGTAAAGATGAATAAACATAAAGGAAATGTGGCAAAGTATTAAACATTCAATACTATCGAGTGATTTATTTATTAAGACGTTTCCGACTTATGTACCACACTATATAGTCCCAGGACTCGAAAGATAAAAATATTTTTAAGATTGCTTAAACATACTTAATTATTTACAATGTACATTATTTAATTGAAGATAATATCATTTTATTTAGTGAAGTGTATTTAATCACTTTCTGCAAGAAACATTTGTGTTGCTCCTAAAGTAAACCAACAATTTTGAAAACAGAAGTACATTAAAAATGTTCAAACATTTAGGATAGCATTTGTATTACTATATAAATACTTGATCAAACACAATGGTATTCCCACAAAAACTTCCAGTATACATTAACCAAGCGACTACACGAACATAACTCAAAGTTCAAACTCCAGCGAACAGAAATCAAGCAACTCTCAACACCTTAATCACCTAATTACTCCTACAATCAAAGCAATTTCCCTAACGCAACACAAGTTCAGAAGCCAAAGCTTCCCAAAGCGATTATTCTCTGAACCTTTCTACATCCGACAGATGCAGCCAAAGTTCTCTCAGCTCGACATGTCGCCACGAAAAGAAGCCCAATTTTCTATCTCCGCAAAAGGTCAGGTCGCCAGAATTCGGTTGACACGGCGATCAAAATGTTAAACCGTGCCATCGGTTGGTACCACGGTGTATCGGATAGGCTCGCGACGAAAGCAACACCCGAAAGCTATCGAATACCGCAATATTCCTGGATCACAGTTCCACGTAGGGAAAAGGTGACCGCACTGGAGGGCAGGAAAGGAAGAGGGAGGTCGCCGGAGGCAGCGATGCCGGGCGGATAGGCTGCGCGGGTGGAAGGGTGGAGGAGAGAGAAGCTTGCGATAGTCGGGTAGCGGCGCGGGGTCGTTATGGGAAGGGGTAGGGCAGAACGCATCCCTGCCAGACCGGCCACCTGCCTACCAACCCTGTCTGCTCCACGACGCTTCCCAGTATTCGAGCGATCGCTAGTACTCGCGCACGCAAATCCCTCGGCCGCCGGGGATGTGCGTTGATCGCGCCATCGCGTCGACTCCGATCGTACTACAGAAACGTACGGTTTAGTGTGTACTACCCAGCCGTTTTCCACACGACGCGTCGTGTTGTTGTGCACTAACCGTGTCGATTCCGTCTTGTGCCACGAAAGTGTGTGCCCCACACTAACCGTCTCTCTCTGAATCTCTCGATATCTCCGTCTCTCTCCCGCTCTCCCTGTTCCTTCGATGCACGTGTGCACGCTACACGCAACCCCGTGAAGCGCAGCGTCATCGCCGCGGACGTACGAGCCGAGGGAGCATCATTGCCATCCTCTGTCTGTCCGTAACGCCACCGTTGTCTGAACTATAGATCCGCCGGTCACCAGCGTCCTGGCATCCCACGAGTGTCCCTGAACACCGAGAACGTCTTTGCCACCGTTTGCCACGTCGTATATTCGCGTGGAAAGAGCTGGACGGTCGCAGGGCTGAATCACAGATCCCGTCGCGCCCCATCGGCACACGTTGGCACGCTCGTTTTTCAATTGATTGATCGTACTTCTGGTCGAAGAGGAGATGCACGAGAAACTCTCGACGGTTTAGGGGAGCAGGGACTCGAACGGGAACTCCGATATCGAAGGCTTTCGCAGTTCGAGGGTTGAGAATTGAAGATCTTCCGACAATTGCTCGCTCGATTATGCGGCAACGGTATGCACCCGTATTTATGCGACGCGTTTATGACTGTCCGCACGAAAGGCACTGTCGTACTATGTCGACGTGAACGGACCAGGGGATGATGCATTTTCCAGCTGCGGATTTAACGGGACACTGAGTAATCATTAACGTTATCCCAGTGTACCCTGTGATGGCATCGTGCTTTGTCATAGAAACGCGAACGACGCGAATTCTCAAAGTTTCTCCACGTTCCGTTTGTCGGAAAATTTATGGCATTTAACGGGAATACGTTTCACCGGCAGACGCGATCGAGCGGCGAAATCTGAATGAACACAAGCGATTTTCGGTCGGGTTACGAGTCAAACAACTTACGGATCGCGTCGAGCTGATGTTTACTCCGACTAGAGAGAGAGAGAGAAAGAGAGAGAAAGAGAGAGAGAGAGAGAGAGAGAGAGAGAGAGAGAGAGAGAGAGTTATTTCGATCGGAATCAAGCCTACCGCGAAACAATAAGAACCCGCGTCGGCGTTAATTCGTTTTCCATTGTCTTACCGTGACATCGAAAATATTCCGCTTAGCTTTCTTTCCCCGCGTTTTCGAACGGTCGCTCGACCCGCGGACTTGTGCACGGAGAAACACGGGCTACTCATTAGAGAAATTCGTATGGTACTGTTAGGGACAGTAGTGGAGTGGTAGCTTCCCTCGACCTTCGCCCCTTAACTTCTTTTCGAGTTCCGAAAAAACATACTTGACGCAAACAACCGCCGGTGTGCCAGAGCGAACAGCCGCCTGACATGGCTACCTGTTTCGACCAACCTTTGTTTCACGCTTCACAAAAGAACGAGGTCATTAGGTACGCGGGAAACCAGGAAGGGTCGAGGGAAGTTGGCCGCGGACAAGCAAGTCGGCGCACCGCTCTCGCGGGGGGGCCTTTCTTTTATCGCGAGAACACGTCACCACGGTCAATCTCTCGTAGTTCAATAATCCATTCCGGTGGTCGTCGTTAACCGTTCGATCCGTCGAATCCCGCGAGTCACTTGTCGTTACCCGGGAAATATTATTGAAAGATTTTCGCAAGTGGCTTCGTTGCCGCATAAATGGCCACTAGGACTTTCCCGTAGGAGTCAATGGCTCTCGAGTGTCAAGAGAACCGGCGCTTTGATACCGAGTGCGGTCTAACGACCGGGATACATCGTGCGCATCCGAAATTTCGTCGATCGTTGCCGAGTACACGGCCGCAACGGTACTAATTCGCGTTCAATCAACCGGAAGGAAACGCCGATCGGGGGAACGAATTTCACGGGTTATTCGTTTCGAACGACGGAAGCATCCAAGCCGCGGAGCGATTTTTGTGGAACGTTCCAATCGAGTATATTTGTTTCGCGCACGCCGAATGGTTGATTAGCCGCCGCGAAAAGTGAAAGCGCGCAGAAGTTATCGACGATGGAGACGGGAGCCGAGCGGAATCCTCGGAAACGTGTCCGTGAAATGGAACTTGATCCGGTCGAGTCGATCTGCACGAACGTTTTGATAACTGTTGTTAGATAATGTGAATTATCGAGCAGAGGGTATAACTCTATTGAAGTCATTTCGAAGAAACCTTCGACGCAAAATTAGCTTACCAAGTGAATCGGCTTTGCTTCGGGTTTACAAAGAATAACAGACGAAGCGAATGGATGGAAATAAAACGTCCCGCTTCTTTTTTTTCAACGAAATGTACCGCTGATCTTGTTCTCGCGACGCAGAGTGATGAATTCTTGAGTCCAGCAGACATGGAAATACCGAGGAGATCTTTCGACGCAAATCATCTTAACCCGAGGAAGGAAGCAAAAGATTTTTAAGGAGAATTGAATCGATGAAGAAATTTCTAGCGACAGGTTTTGTAATTACAAGAGAAACACTTTATCGAAGTCACTTCCGTGAAAATACGTAAGGAAGGAGAAGGATGATGCTCGAGGGAAAAGTTGAATCTAAGAAAACGAAAATTATCGGAGAAGGGTGGAAGATTGCCTAAAGAGTAAGGGTGTCTACGAAGAAGCGTCAGCGAAACGATGTTTCCGAAGGATAAATGAAAAAAGCGAATCCGAAGCTGTTATAGTCAGCTTTATGCTGTCCAGATTTATCCGCGAGCTAGCAGTGGATAATATCGCGGCAGGGAGAGACGAGAAAACCGGCGGTTTGAACTGTAACGCGACGGTTTTGTGACCGTTCGGTTCGCGGGCGTTGCGAGTGGCCCGCGACTTTCATCGCGACAAAGAGGTCACCATCGATGGTGGTGAACGTAATGTTCTAACTAGAGGTGAAGAGATGACGGTGACTCCGTCTACTTCCGATGTCGCTGACAAGGCAGTCTCGACGGATGATGGTGGCAGCGGAATGGAGGTGGCACGTCTCGAAGCCGTCCTTGCTGCTCTGGTGGAAACAAAGGTGGAGGCAATCAAAGCCTCTTCAACTTTAAGCAAACGTTCCGGTAGTGCGCCAGCTAGTCCACGTCGGCTTAGACTAACTTCCACCTCGACCGCATCCTCCTCGCTGAACCACCATCACCACCACCATCACCATCATCACCATCAGTACCGACGGAAGAGCCATCACCATCATCACCATCATCATCACCAGCAGCATCATCATCATCACCACCACCGCAAGAGGTACGATTCAGCGCCCTGCGACGAATTCATTGAAGACGAGCACCATCAACGTAGTTCACATCATGGTGAGTAACGTTTTCCTTTGGGAAAGTGTTCGCGAGATATGCTTCGAAAATATGCCATAGTTCTCGAATGCTTTGACCCTTTACGGGAAATAGTTCGCCTTTGCATTCCGTTAATGCGTACTGCCGAGGAAGCGAGTAAGAAAAAATTGATTGCAATGAATTTTTATATCCGGTTTCAGGTGCCTCTGATTGCACTTTATACTTGTGTATTCTTTGATTTGCATAACTATATACTTCTGATTGTATGTATTTATGAGTTGAATAATTATGAAACTGCGTAATGTGGAAGACGTGAAAGTAATATGGTAATTTCGGCTGTTAAACATTGATTCTTGTGGTTTTCGGAAATATAAATATCGTTCTGTATTGTTTTTGGTAGTTCCTTGGTTTTGGAATAATTTTATATTGTTTTATTTTATTGTTTAGCTATGTTCGGTGGTATTAATTGTTATTTTTAGTTTCATAGCTTTAGAATGAGTTTATGCTGTTGTGTCTTGTCGTTAGTCGTACCTAATTACGTTGTCGATCGTTTATCGTAATTTGGTGCGAGAATGTTTCGCGGAAAATAAATATTATTTGTGAAACTTTGGTTCAAGTTTTCCGTGTACAACGTAGAAGTTATAGATACATGGTAAAGAAACTTAATCGGTCAAAGGTGCAAATCCACATTTCCCCACAAAACATTCCAGTCATGGTAAAGGAAATGTGTAGGGCGTTCTAATCCTCTTAGTTTCTAAAGAACTTTTTATTCAGCACAGACTATTAACAGTATTAAAGGGGAGTGTAGGATAAATACTTTGATAATTACTTTTAATCGCATCATTATAAATTGTTAACACTGTTTTTACCGGTCTTTTGTGTATACTTATTTCTACCAAGTCGTGTCAAATGATATTTTTCCATTTAAATGCAGTAACAGTGGAAATAATAAATAAAAAAAATTTTCTTTGTCTTTGTTTGATAATTATAAAAGACAGTAAAGAATTTTAAAATTTTGTAAGATGTCTTTTGACAGCTTTGATAAAAATATGGCCAAAGTGACAGAAATTACTAACACCAAAACTGACAAACTCATATGAAGCAGTAAGATTTAATAATTAATAGAAAAATTATAGATACAAATTGGGGGTAGGTAATTATCTCCTTATAAAGTATATGAAATTATATCTATTATTTCAATGTCGTATATTTTCATTGCGATCATTTTAATGACGATTAAATTTATTTAATGTGGAAAAGAAATTTAACTTACAGTTGGATAGACCAGGTGGATTTAATATTTAACAGCACGATTTAAGAAAGAAAGAAAGATAAATTCATTCCAAAATGAATTATTACGAAATATGTTTGTACGAAGTACATTTTGGTGAAGAATTTATAATGTGGATCTACTGCCCAGACAATATAAATTTGTGAATTTTATTTCTTCAGAGTTAACTGAAAAGTATGGATTCTACTATATTCGGTCTTTTGGACCAAAATTAACTAGAAAAAAATGTATGTCTATAAAAAATAATACCTAGCTTCATGTTAGTATGTGAAGTCATTGATAAATTTTAAAAAATAATACAAAAGTTGTAAACTATACACTTTCTTGATCAATGATCTGTTTTAACACTAAATATTTCAACACTTTATATATATATATATTTATTCCTACCGTAACCAAATTACAATAATAAACAAATTAGAGGTAAACAAATTATAATATAAATAATTCTTAATGGAAGCAGAAATAAAAGGAAACAAAAACTGGAAAATCGACTAATTGGACAGTATAGAAATTGATACAAAGTTAGATGAATGAAAGAGAATGCAGAATTTTTTATCAAATTTAAAAACCGGTGATCGGTCGCGGTACGTTTAATGTTAAAGTATTCCAAGTATTTGAAAAAAGATTGAAAATAATAGTTTTCCAAATTATATAATATTTATAATGATATTCATGAAGATACACTATAAAACCTCATTAGAAATAGGAAAGCTGAAATTTTTACCGTTATTTGAAATATGCCAAGTGTTATGAGTTTCATTTATGACTTGCTATTCAAATTTTCAATAAAATGTATCATTCTTGTTAAGTAATCTTAACTATCTTTACGAATTTATTTATCTACCATCAAAATATACTGCAAATTAAATTATGCCAGAAAAGTTCTTTAGTGGAAGTTCTTATAATTGAATAAAGTATTTGTATATTTTTTAAATGTATTGTAAGAATTTCTTGGATAAAGTTTCGAAGATATTCGCAAAAATTGTCCATTCATATGAATTTATATTATATAAAGTTAGAAAGTATAAAAATATATATAAAACTAGGAGATATTAAAATAAATACTAGGAGATATATAAAATATTAGTTGATATACTTATGATATGTTCAATGAAATATGCTGAGCTTTTTTATCAGCGCTGAACACCAGTAAACGAAATTTTAATATTGCAAAATATTCATCTTAAGCTTCTGTTCGCATCGTGTTTGTTTCTAAAGAACTAAAGAAATAATTACGAAATATAAATCGACTCTGCTTTACAATGTTCTCTTTTTAATTTATACTTCTTTCAATAAAAATGCTGTGCTGTAATGGTGGTTGTATTTCTTGCAAATTTAATTTCATATTTCCTAGATCGACAATAAAGTTTACTTTACTTACCGACGGTTATTAGATGATCTTTTTACCCTTTGCGACCTGAATTGTCGTCTGAATTTGTTTGTACGTCGTCTGAATTCTAAATATTTCTTAATAATACATATGTTGTATATAAATAATGTTTAAAATATAAAAACTAAAAATTAAAATGAGGCTATAAATGCACATAGTGGTTAAATTAAATAAAATTTGATAAGAAGTCTAAGAATACTTGAAAATGTATTTCAAATTACTTAAAAGAATTATTTTAAGGAATTCATAAAATATATAAAATTATAACTGAACAATTAACAACTACAGATTTGCCAGTCAATTTTTTCTACGTTGAATAAGAATTATAGTCATGAAACAATATGTTATTTTAAACAATGGAACAAATTCTTCCAGAATTGTTATCTAAGAAAATTATTGAGCATCTTTTGTATCGCACACATTCAGAACCCCATCAATAAGTTTTCGGTAGATAAAATATTAAGGTATTGCCCAAGGCAGGAATTTCAGAAAATAATTCCTCTACTTTTTTCATATTCTCTGCAAATGAATCCTCGTGACCGCTTTACTGTCGAGCATGGATCTTTGTGCGCATACTGCGAAAGTTTATGCATTTATATCGTCTCGTCGTCTGCAAAGCTCACTAGAATACAGATTTGAATAAAGTTAAACGGTTTATAAATGTTTCGTTAGGAAATGAAATTTCTTATCTTTTTCATACGATTTTCATTAATGTTTTTTGATTTTTAAATTGGTATCTAAAATTGTATTCACGTAAACGTCTGAAAAATACTAATAAAAATTTTTCTTCGGTCACAAAAATTTGTTTGATTTTATTGCGAGTTCAATGATTATAACATATAAAAGGGATGGTCATCTTGAAAAGTCAAAGATTTTATAATAGGGTTCAAAGTATATTGTTATTAATGACAAATTTTTATTATCAATAGATGTGCATCTTTCAAGTTATACCTTTGTACCTTTACTGTAATATATAATGTTAATTATAAATATGATGTATTTAACACTAGAGATACTAAACAGTGCAAGTGAGTTGTTCTGAATTTTTCATAAATTTAGGGAAGTTCATTTGTTAAGTTTCGTTTTATTTTGATATTTGAATATGAAAACATGCAAACTTTTAAATTTCATAATATCCTGCAGAATTATTTAACTATGTATTGTAATTGTTATCAGGAAAATGGGAAATTTTGGCTTAACGCAAACGTAATTCATTTTTTAAGAAAATTATTCGCGCAATTTTTATATATTATTTATATTAATACGAATAAATTTCTTAAATATGCTATTCTGTTCATAACAGAAAACAATATCTCTGCGTTCGTTTTTATATAATAATTCAACATAATGCTCTTAACTCTGTTCGACTCCAACATGGTTAATCCACGGGCGTATTTGTACCCAATACAAATTCATAATTTTATAGATATATGAGAGATATTGATTACACGATAATTTGTTTATTAGCTATATTACAATTTTTTAATTTTCATCCTTCCAACTGAATTTATTGCCTGACGTACAATCAACAGATTAATAAATAAACAACGTAATTAAGAGATAGGGCAAACATTCTTTTATTGAAAACAAAAGCATAAAATTTCTGTACAATTCGCGCACGAGATTACTTGTATGATAACAAACAATTAGACTGCAGTTTTGTTACATGCTCATGGTATATACAAGAAACATAAAGTCCAAGAAAACATTTCTAGTAACAAAACATAATAGTATTTTCATTTCATCTTTGACTTAATTTTCCAGTCAACTAGAAGTAAGATAACTTATTAATTAAAATAATTTATAAAGATAGAAATCTACATAAAGATTATAATTCATAAATAATAAAACAATAATGTGCAGGATATACCGTTTTTCTAGACTGAGCTTTTCGTAATACCGTAATCTTTATAAACAAAGTATTTGCAAGTTGACGGTGAAATAGTTTAGTGTGTGTATTGTTGCAGGTAAAGCAAGACGAAGAGCGTCAGAAAGTCCACGACGTCCGAGAAAGAAGCGCAAACATTCGAGAGACGTTCAAACTGGTCTTAATTCACGGTTTGAGCTCTTCGGAGTAGACGGCGATCAAAATCTCGCATTGATCAATTTCGAAAGGACTCGAGAGACTTTCAGCGATTCCTGCGAATATCCGCAGTTGCACCGAAGTGCCTGCTGCTTATCCGAAAGTACAGCTCAATTGTAAGTAATGCCAACCATTCGATTGCGGAATTTCACACACTTATGGCACATAAATATACAAAACGATCCATTACTTTCACGATATTTTTCAATGCTCTGCGAAATTATGCAGCAGCATGATTTTTCCTCTACTAGAACTTTCTATATTCAAAAAGTGGTATCATTATCTTTTTTCAACATAGGTACAGTAAAATTACTGATAAAACGGGACCTATTTTAGATGTTTCTTTTCCTTTTATGTTTTTTATTATAAATAAATGGTTCTGTAATATATTAGATTGTAATACATTAGATCGAAAATATAATTTTCTTCTTCTTTCAGGATAATTTTCCATATAACGTCCTAGTTTTCAAATCCACTTTTTGAATGAAATTACATTAAAACAATTATAAGAGATAATGAAGATTTCTGTTGAGACTAAATGTAATGGATCTCTTTCTGGTCTACCTAATATATTATAGTACATTTGATACAATTGTACATATTTATATATTTCATATAATATGTACAAGGTGACTCGTTACGAAGAAATGTGCTGATGCTGATTGCTTTCCCTTATATGTACTTATATAATAAGCATTTATGATAGAAAATGTATCAGAGATTTATTAATCTATAAATCAGAGATTAACAATTATTTCGAAGAATTAAATAATGATTATATAACATTAAATATACCGTGGCCAGTCAAATTTAAAATCCTGCGTTTTCTTCCGTTGATTTAACTTTATATCAATTTTTATATTGTCCAATTAACCAGTTCTTCAGTTTTCATCTTTCCTTTTGTTTTTATTTCCACTAAGAAAAATTTATCGACTAATTTGTTTACCTTACTTTGTAACCAATTATTCGACTGGTTACAATAGGAATAGGTATACACAGAACCGATATGTTTAGCGTACACATAAGGTGTTCAATTTATTAGTGGGTTATACTACTTAAATGAGATTTTCAAACATAATGGAACATTATGTGACCTTCTGAGTTGCATCGATGTTCTTCATGAGGTTTTTACATGTAATACTTCTAAAATTGATTGCTATTTTTTATTTTATTAATGAATATTGTCAACTTAATGCGTTTTTCCCTTCCTTAACCCTTTACGTTCTGAATTATGTGACTCATTATTGCTACATTTGTTCTAGATACCTGAAGAATATTCAAATATCATGTATGATGAGGATGAATTTTTCTTATAATCATTTTAGTAAAAACTTAATTCAATAAATTAAATTTAATTTGATTAATACGGGTTACTTATGTTTCTGTTTTGTACTACTTTTTTCTGCTTTAACTTGATGCAAACAAAAATGATTCCTTTCCTGTACTTGTTTTAAAATAAATAAATAATATTATATGTAATATTAGTAGTACATAATATATTGTATGGTATACAAATGTTTAATAATAAAATAAATGAGTGAAATAATTCAGTTATTTTTATAAATCAGAAATACAAATTTTATAGTATATACTATAGAATATTTAAACTTGTGAGTTGAAATCTGTCCACGTCGTTATCGATATGTATGTGTATAGTTTTCTTATTTTATTGTCGCTTAAAAATGTATCACTTTTAAATGCGGCGTGACCTATATTATGCACACGTTAGCTAGATGTTTTACCGATCCACTTTATCTGACACACTTTTATATAAGGTCGTTGCAAAGTGCAATTTACTTGTAAGTAGGAATTTTATTTAATATTAATAAATCCATAAACATGATTATTTCCTTTACCTGTTACATAGAAACTATACACTGTACAACACAAACGTATTATGACCCACAAATTTAATCTTCCTATAATTTTTATGAAACAAACATTGGTACTTTAAAAATTTGAAATAATTCTATTATGCAGTGTGATTCACTATAAGTATGAAATTGAAAAGAAAAGTTCAATGTTTATATACGTACATAAGAATTGAAAATCGCTCTAACAGAACATAACATACGGCTAGAAAATTAGTGTACATGTATATGAAATTTTTGTATGTAAATATAAAAAAAATTAAGTTACTACATTCAGTCTGTAAAATGCCTCACAACTAAAATCGCACGGTATACATTTCGTTGGTATTCCTGTCAAGAAATTCCCGAGAACAATTGAATAAATTTAAATAAAAGAATGTTACATTGTTACAGCCTGCCGGTAAACGTCGCGTATTGTTACAATCAGAAAATATAGCGCAAGAGTAGTAGAAATGAAGTAAACAGCGTTAGAAAAGCGACAGATTGTTTTCAAGTGTTCCGAAAGTGGTAAAAGCTACTGAGAAGTTTCTAAAACAGCTGGCAGAAGTGGAAGTTCCGAATGTATTTGCTGAATATTCGATCACTTCGAACACTAATGTGAAATAAGTAATAGTTTTCTGTATATGAACATATAATATAGGTTATTTACTTAAACATATGAAACATACGATTTTGAAATAGAAGTTTTACCCACTATAAAAAATCAATTTTACTTTTCTGATGATATCAACTAATAAATGTCTGAGTTCCGAGTGAAATAGTAGATACTGAACTAATTTACTTTTCTAATATATTACTGGTTAAGTAGCATTAACTAAATAAGCTTAAAAATAAGTAATACAATTTAATAAATGATATATTTTTTATTCACATAAATAAATTCTTTAAATGACCGAGAAGAATGTAGATATAATTTTACACTGTACCATAATAACAACAGTTCACTTTTATTCAGACATAAAGCCAAATACAAAAGGATACGCAGAATGTTTAAAGGGTAAATAACGAATGTGTGTTTATCAACCCCTTTTCATAAATGCATTTATTGGAAATATCTCCTGCCGAAGAAATATACGTTTCCATCTAAAAATAATATAATCCTTAAATGTAAGGCACTTAAAAAAGAACACTTAAATATAACTGTGGCATTGTTTAGTTAGAAAAACAACTTTTCAAGCCAAAGTTGCAGTATTTAAAGGAGAAAATGTGATATTGATAATGAATGTTTCCTTTCAAGGACAATTTTTCGAAATTTCAAGGTTATCGTTGCTTTTTTTAAACGAAACGCCACATTGTTTGTTGCACATTCTTATAAAAATTAAAGAACCCAATTTCATGACTTTAACAACCATATAGTTTCAAGCATGCAATTTCGAGAAATTTACAATAATATGTCCAAATGTTATCGTAAATTAACATTATTTGTACAGGCATGTGAATGTACACTGAGACGTATGTTTATCTTATAATATGCATTACAGACAACTTGAGGGTACATTTCAATAGAGATCTATGAATTAGCAATGCAACAATATTAGCGGTTATTATTGTAAGTTTCGCAAAATCGCATCATGGTAACAGTACCAGGTTGTTAAAGTTATTAAATTGCGTTTTTAACTCTTATAAGAATATGGAACAAACAATACGGGGTTGTACATACAGAACTAACGATGACCTTGAAATTTCAAAAAACAACCTTGAAAAAATATATTCAGTTCAAATATTTTATTACTATGTCTAATATATCCTCCCAAATTGTCTTACTAAAATTTTCTAGGAGAAAATTCTGTTGCTTTATTTTAATCATTTCATACAGATCAGGACATATTGGATTAACACCGGAACTACCGCACCCCTCAAAATGAGTTTGTTTCCTCATTTTCCAATTATTGATATCTGAAAGATATTAAATATCCGAACTGATTTTAAAGATAAATAGTTCCACTCGAACACTACAATGAATATATGAAGAAACAGAAAAAACTTATCGTTACAATTTTTATAAGGATTACATATGAATCACATTAAACGCTCGGTAGTTCTAGCGTTAAGTATTAAATAAGTACATGGTAACTGGTTTTAGTGATAACAAAACAGAGAATAACTTAATCAGAATGAGTTTGCAAATAAAAGTTTATTTTTTCATTTGCGCAGAAAGATCCACTACAACGATGAAAACTACGTGGCGTTGAACGTAGCGGACAAGTTAGAAGAAGAAAGAATTTTGAGCGGCATCGAGAAAAACGGGAAGGCTCGGGGGAAGTACCATCATCCACGGAAGAAGCGAAAACGGAAACGGCGTAAGATTAACACTACAGTTCCCCGAGAAGAATTCGTCGACCCCGAAGAACTTCCCCCGCGCGCACGTTGGACGATCGTCGCGACCGCTTGCCTCCTTCTTGCCATGTCCTTGCTATTGGTTGGCGTCACGTTGAGGATGGCACCAATTATAGACGACATGGGTAAGTCAGAGAAATGTAATTGAATTCTTTGTTGTAACTTCCAGAAAGTCCGACACGTAAGTTGCAATTTTCGAAATTGGAGTAGCCGGGATCGTCATCTTCATTATCAGGGTGTTCCGTATATTATAGTACAAATTGGGTCAGAATTGTTCTGTGACATTAAACAAGGTAATTGCTTTAAATTATGGCTCGACCTAAATGATTCTAACAGAAAGTGAATATTAGATTGCAAGGATAACTCTCATCTTCGTAGTGTTCCAACGTTCGCGCTTATGTTTTTTACTTGTGTGCAACGCGACGGTATAATAGAACATAACCTATATTCAACATAGAATACTCAACTCTCTGTATTTCGTTCTATATTCATAAAAAATCAATATAACGTTTATCAATTTGTTTTAAAATTTGTTTTCTAGAACTTTCTTCAGGCGAATACTAGTTGAATGTCTAGAATTGAGTGTTTAGGAAAGGGCTTGTGCTACATTTCATACGTTTTTTAAGATGGCGGAAAAATACGTTACTGCTTATTATTATAAGCAGTGTGTACTAGAAGCACCTAATAAAATTTCATCATTCTCTTGATTATTGCGTTATTTTAAGCCACAGAATCACTACGATCTAATAGTATCATAATATCCAATAGATCCATTTGTACCATGACTTACGTATGTAAATTACTGTATGCTTTAAACAGAATACTCGGGATTTACGAAAACTGAATCAACAGAAAATTTTAGGAACACTTAATTTCAAAACGATGATATTTTCTTTTTGCAGACACGACAGTTGCGAGTAGAAATTTTTGAAAATAGAGATAGACTGATTAAACAGTAATTCCTGAAGTCAGAAGTAATGGTAAATTAAAGTGTCTATAAATTAAAACAAAGTATATAATCACATTTTTTATACAAAAGCCATATTTAACATATGGCTGTCGGAAACGGGAATACTTCGAGCTTACGAGAACCTAAGTGTGATCGTTGCTATAACTTAGGGAGGGCAAAACTTTTTAAGTAAGGAGGGGAAAAACTTCCAAACTTCTTAAACAAATTCACCTGTTACGTATTTCCATTGAAACATTGATCTTCTGCGAAATGGTATTCTTGTGTACATTGGACTCACTAGAAAAAATTACAAATATTATTTGGTTTCATTTGTGTACATCCAGTTTATTTGCCTTGCACTGCATAGTCTGTGTTACTATATCTATGACATAATATAAATTTTACATGTATTAAATAATACATTACATTTGTCGATTAAAACTTCTATTTATTTATACTTGATCTTACTTGCTTTATGTGTGTAGATAATACGTTATATGGTCTGTAAATATTCTTCTATATCACGCAACGAAATATAATATTAAAACTTGTATTTTGAATATTTCTTTTATGTTAGAAGTGAAGTAGACTTTCAGATAGTTGAATTTTGCTAAGACGAAGACGAAATCTTTATTTCGAAACAAGTCATCAATACAGCTGAGAATTGTTTATCGTCAGTTTTTTTGAAATTTTTCTACGAGAAATTTATATACATATGTAAATATACATTTACATAAATGTCTACTGTTAATTAATTACAGTCCAAGGGGATAACAAATTTCATGATATGAAATTCGAAGAAGAATCTCATGAATTTCGTCTGAAATATTAGTACGTGTGATGTTTGATTTGTGCATTGCAGTATTATCAGAGAGATGTACGTCTAAGCTATTTAGGGTAGGTCTCGAGAGAAAGCAGTTCTCTATAGTGACGATGAAATATGCAACCAGTCCCAGGTGATTCTATCTCGTATCTCATGTCGGTACGTTAATGCTTCATTGCATCAATGATTTGTGTTTTATCCGAAGAGCCAAAATAACTTTGTTTCTGCACTTTATAAGTGAATTATATTCGTCATGATACAAAAATATATTTCCTTTACTTAAATTTAACTATTACAATAATACAAATGAATAAAAGTATCTCCGGTTAAAAATTATTACTGGTAAAATACAAAACGAGCAAGACAAGCAAGATAATTTTAATCATTAAAATTATATTAATGTTCAATCTATTAAGTACTGAAATGAAACTTTTTCCTACAAAACGATTCTTAATGCAACTTTCAATGAGATTGGTTTGTAACATTCATTGAAATTGAAGTTTTTTTCTGACAGCATTGATCTGGCATTTTGCAGTTCATTTTATATTTGATTATCATGTAGGTATTATTCCAGAAAATTTTATATGAATATTTTGTCTTATTGTATTAACGTTTCATATTCTGAATTGTGGCATGTTTTATTACACGTCGCTATATTTATTGTACATTTCAGCATTTCAGTGATATGTTAAAGTACTTCTGGTCACAAAGGATTGAATTAATGTACGCGCATGCTTTCATAGTATAAAATATAGTCGAGAGTTGTACAATACCGACTGCTTTTATTAAAAATTTCTTTATTATATTTCGAATAAAAGTCAATAAAAATTACAACTTTGAAAACGCATTCGTAGTGTCAATGGAACTTAATAAAAGGGTCAAATTATTATTGTGAAATTTACTAATAATTGACAATCTACAGAAGTAAGAAATTTTTCATTTATGGGAAACAAAAAATTCTCATACCGACAAATTATTGAATATCTATTATATAGGATTAAATAATTTTGAATAGAAGATTCTTGTTGAAATTTTATTTGTATAGATTACACGAAAAAATTCAATATTCTTCAGATCTATGCATTTCGCATAAGTTCAAATTATACGTTCTTATACTAGATGATTTCTTTATTAATAGTAGAACCATCGAGTATTCGATATGATTGATATATAATTATTAGGAAAATTATAAGAATACATTTCAAATGTCTACTGATATTAATTACAATATCTAAATAAATCCATTATTTGTAAAATAATTTCAATATTTAATTTTTTTTACCATTGTTGTGACACTAACAACTGTAGAATAAGAAAATAAAAAAAGTGTCGTTTTGACAGATACAGTAGTTCAAGTGTTAAAGTCTACCGTCCTTTCAGCTGTCAACAAATAGAACGTACAAATAATAAAAATGCTATCTCTACTAGTCGACAGTCTACTGGTCAATATTGAACGACAGTTGCATGATCGATACCGCGCGTAACATGTGAAACCGTTTTGGTCCATGAAATATTATGTACGAAAATGTACTGGAATTACTTTAGTGTACTTAATTGATTAAAAGTCGTGCACGTAATAGAACAAACAATTTCTTGTCTACTTATCGCAGAATCGAAACATCAACTTTAAAAAATAAAAAATAAATCTTAAAACGCAAAATGCTACTCATTTTTTCAATGATGAATAATTTATTTCTTCAGACGAACATGTAATTCTTCTTCGTTTTGTTTTAGCTCATTGTTAGAATATATTATAGATGCTTTTACTCTGCTTTTGACGGGTATACATTTTATTGTTCGATTTTATTGCGAGCAATGAGAGATTTTTGAAACTAAATTCTACAGTTAACAGGTTAAATATTAACATACACGTTTGACGTCTCAGAACATCGAACAGAATAAAATAAATAATGTGGCCGTGGAATATGTTACACAGAATTATGATATTTATTTATTAATACAAATAAAGTGCCATTATTATTGGTGGATGAATTAAAAGTAGCTGTAGTCGATACCGTACGCTGATCGATACTACACAGTTCTCACCTAATAAGAGATGGATGTTTATTTCTAGATCAAATTCATGCGACCGGTATATAAGGATTAAGCTTCATATTCGATACATTCAATTTTCCTGGTATGTGATGAATGATTTACGAGTAGTAAATTATTTGGCGAGTTATATTTCTTATAATATACAATTTCTTTATTGAAGTATTCGTAAGAATGAAGAGACTTTAATACAGAATCAAGTTATGTTGATAAGTTTGAAAGTAGATATGCAAATATAAAAAATCAGATTGAAATAAATTTGAATTGAATTGTGTCTCTCTGATACCTGAAAGTTTTGTGCTTTGTGTTAATTCTTGAATAGCCGTGGATGACGTGGGAAATTTCCATTGCAGATGCATACTTTTAATATTAAATCTTCATTGAAATAACATTTTGAACAGATGTAAATATTTTGTAAACATAATGTTTCTGTTTCTCTATTTACACGTTACCATATAAAATATTTTGTTTTATTCTCTTTTTACCAAATGTCAAATTGATTTTGAAACAAAGTTGAACGTTATGAGATTTAACATTTTCAAAAATAAAGTAACCATCATTTCCTGGAAAAGATTCAATATCAACCACAAAAATGGCGTCAGTTTTTATAAGAATTAACACTGAAAATGAACATAAATAAGTTTCTTTTTTAATGTTTTTGATTGTTTTTCAAATTCGTTTTTTTCAATGTTATATACATAAGTATTTATTATCGATGAAGAAGAAACAAGAAACATCGATATGAAATCTAATGCCAAGAATTTAATGCTTTTATTAACATTTTTCGAAGTTACTTTATTATTAGAACGAAGCCGAAAACTTTCTTCATCTGATTCAACAAATTTGTACAGTAATACCGACTGTCTTAACAGTATACATATCTATCCGACAAGTATAACAATTTAACTCAATAATTCATTAATTAACAAATGTAATACATCGATAAAATTTACTATCAAGATTACTGAACTGCGTTATCATTTATACCACTATTAACGTAATTATCTCACCGAAAACTGTTACGTCAGGAGTCGTTCGAGTGCACGTGTACCGGGCAGACTTTGAACATCGACTTTCTCGAAAACGAAGCAACATACAACGAAAGTGTTATTACACATTTTCAACTCATTTCTGTAGCATCATTTCTTGCGTTGCTATACATATGCCTTAAGACACCCTATATATTACTTTTTCTGATTCTGAGAAAATTTAATATATCGTAGTCTTCTGACACCATGTCTGTTTTTCCAGCTTCGTATGAATGATCTTGGAAGCGTGCCTACACTTTCTACAAGTCTGAA